GGGGGGGGGCGCCTGGGTGGCTCAGTCATTAAGCGTCTGCCTTCGGCTCAGGTCATGATCCCGGAGTCCTGGGATCAAGCCCCGCCTCGGGCTCACTGCTTGGCGGGGGGCCGGCTTCTCTCCCTCTCCCACTCCCCCTGCTTGTGTTCCCTCTCTCGCTGTGTCTCTGTCAAATAAATAAAATCTTTTAAAAAAATTTTTTAAAAAAAGAAAAGAAACCCCACACAGTTATCTAAAGAGTATTTCTGGACTACCAAAGAATTTTCAAATTTATAATGACCTAACTTAAAAGATGTAGAGGTCTAAAATTTCAATGTTACAGGGAGGCTTGGGCTTTCTACTGAGAAGTCTTCTGGAAAACCTTCCTCATTACTATCAGAATAGGTCAATTTTACCTTAAGGGAACTCCTCCAAAATGCCCCAAATTAAAAAGAATGGTACAAACCTGGGGACCAAGTGTAAATCTCCTTCACTTTCGTCAATTTCTTTGACCAAATGTACCAGGAGTATTTTTCTGACTGTATTCAATGGCTTACTCCTTTGACAGCTTGTGACAGTATAAAGATACATGCACTTAAACCTATCTGGCCACTAACATTTCACACTTGGAAGTGTACAAATGAATCCAACAAAATTTTAATTGTAAAATCTACTGCAAAAGAATACAATGCAACGTGACAGAATCTAAGTATGCGTAAGGAAAATTCAGTTAGTAGCAAGATAAATTAAAACCAGCCAAGTATGGGGTGCCTGGGTGGCTCAGGCGTTAAGCATCTGCCTTCGGCTCAGGTCATGGGCCCAGGGTCCTGGGATCGAGCCCCACAATAGGCTCCCTGCTCAGCAGGAAGCCTGCTTCTCCCTCTCCCATTCCCTCTGCTTGTGTTCCCTCTCTCACTGTGTCTCTGTCAAATAAATAAAATCTTTAAAAAAATAAAATCAGCCAAGTATACTCTAAGTAGAGCCAGTAGGCAATATAATTTATATGGAGGGGTGGGGAAAGGGGCTAGTTTACCAAGGAATTAGATTTCTTTTGCAGTAAAATGATACAAAAAGATTTTATATAAAGCAAAAGATACACCATCTACAGTCAGGAAGGGGTTGAAGGATTTCATGGATCCCTTAAGCTTTAATATTTCTTAGGAAAAAACCCAGCTCACTCTTTTACAAGATTTGAACAAAGAGAAGAGAAACAAAGTATTTTTATATGTAATTATTTTGTCTCAAATTCAGTTTGCTCTTCCAAGACCTAAAATGACAGCTATAATTTTGTATCTTATTATTTTTAGCCACATTAAATCAACATTTTCAATTTTCTCTCTTAAAAGATATTTAATAAAAGAGAGGATAAAAATACTTAATAGAACACTCAAATTACAAGAATTAAGTATTTCTCCTTTATTACAAAAGATATGACCAATTTCAGGTTGTGTTCAGGAGATACCAGATAGGCAATCAAAACTCAGAGTGACCTCCTAATGATTTCACTTCCTAGGAGCATTCCAATTTAACCCTGAGTGACTAGAAATGTCATTTTATATAGCATATAAAGGTAACTGACCTCATTCAAGTCTTTGAATATCATCCCTCCCCCCGCAAATCTCCCTTGGGACCTCTACCCTCAAACACCCAAGAACATATACAAAAATAACTTAATAAAATGACACATGTAAAATAACTCCTACATCAAGAAACAGATTTTTCTGGCAACTGTTTTTTAAAGTGAGAAATAGTTAAAACAGAAAGAACACTAATGGATGTCACTGAACCACTGAAATCCTACAAGACGAAAACTTTCCCACCTACCAAGAGTTCAGTGTATATTAAGAGGACACTGGAATTTGAAATTTCATTAGTAAAACAGTTCAGTCCAGTTTCTGAAATCCAGTCATGCATGGAAGTATGGACCCAAGAACACAATTCTACCATACCTAACGAAAAAAGGCTAACTTTTTTTTTAAGCTTCTTTGTTTTTATATTTTAAATAGGGGCACTTTCATAAATGTTCCTTAAAAGGTACATTTCAGGTGCTTGAGTGGTGGTGGTTAAGTATCTGACTCTTGGTTTAGGCTCAGGTAGTGATTTCAGGGTTGTGAGAGTGAGGCCCTCATCAGGCTCTGTGCTCAGCACAGAGTCTGCTTGAGACTCTCCTGTTCCCTGTGCACCGCCCCCCCAAATAAATAATCTTTTAGGGCGTCTGGGTGGCTCAGTTGGGTAAGCAGTGACTGCCTTCGGCTCAGGTCATGATCCTGGAGTCCTGGGATCGAGTCCCGCATCGGGGTCCCTGCTCGGCAGGGAGCCTGCTTCTCCCTCTGACCCTCCCCCCTCTCATGTGCTCGCTCTCTCTCATTCTCTCTCTCTCAAATAAATTCTTTAAAAAATAATAATAATCTTTTAAAAAAAAAAGTTACATTCATAATTTGGTATTTAAGTGGTTAGTTTAACTTTTGAAATAGAAGAATCTACCCACTTTGATATATGAAAAGGTCAGGAAAAGCTACTCTACCCAATTTCAGCCTCCAAATATAGTTACAGTCCATGTGACATGGCAACATAAAAAGTTTAAAGGCGGGGGGAAGAAGTTTCTAAGCTGTTACATGATGGTTTTATTTTCCCAGGGTGACAATTAGAATGGGATGAGAAAAAGAACAGGATTAATATAGTATTTAGATCTTGCTAACTTACTGCTCCAATAAAACTGTCATCTTTTAATAATTAGAAGCATAAAATCCTCTAGAGGTACCAATTTTTTCCTCATTTGTTTCTGTTCCATCAAGACAGTTTAACACTTGGGGTAGAAAGAAGAGAAATAAGAAATCTAAAAAAATAAAATTGTCATGAAAATCAGCTGTTTTCCACATATATGAGATATCTAGAACAAAGTTACGAAAACAGAAAGTAGAATAGTGGTTACTAGGTGCTGGGGAAAGGGAGGATTAGGGATTTACTGTTGAATAGGTACAGATTTCAGTTTTGAGATAACTGAAAAAATTCTGGAAATGGATAGTGATGATGGTTGTACAACAATGTGAATGTACTTAATGCCACTGAACTGTATGCTTAAAAACAGTTACAATGATTTTTTTAAAGTTCCCTTCAAAGAGGCCATTCAAAAAAAAAAAAGTCCCAGCCAACACCCACTTCATTTTAAGCACAAAACCAGATCAAGATTTCCTGTTATATAGCTGTGTCTAGTTTTCAAAGTTTCATTCATACTTTCATTCTGAAAGCTTAAGTCTATGTACCAATGACTGGTATGTAAAAAATAATTTGAATGTATTTTCTCCATTGCTGATTCTTTAACATTTGTAGTTCAGCAATTAATGTCCTTCAAAGATCAGGCCTCCTTTCTGTAGTCAAAACAGCATTAGTCTTAAAAATTAACCAGATAATCTTATAATAAAGTAATTTTATGAATATGCATTCAAGAAATGACATGGGGGCAGGGAGGTTCATTTTAACAAGTTTATACTTATAGAAATACCAAGACTTCATGTCTAGCTCTTTGATATCAATAAAGTAAATATAGCTGCAGTGATTACATGATACATTAAGTCTGCACCTCCATTTTTTCTACAGATCCTTAAAGGGCTAAAAACTTCCTCATAAAGCTGTGTACCAACTCCTCAACATGTAGGATCCAACACTTACAGATGTGAAATTCTCCCACACCTACTAAGAGAAGCCCAGTAATCCATGATCCTATATATAGTTGCTAAGTCCAGTAACTAAAAAAGCATCATGCCATGGCTCAAAATGCTATCTTAGTGACATATACCAAGTGACGTCAAGCACTGGCTCACAAAAGGCAACTCTATAATAAATAGGAAACCAACTTGGTTGATAGTTCACACTAAAAATCTGAAATATGTGAGAAGGGAAAAAAGACTATTACAAAAGTAACCTAACCATTGAGCTGGGCTGGGTTAGAAGGTGAAAATACCAGATGATGGGCAAAGTTCATTAATATACCATCTGTTGTCAAAATCAAATCTATTAAGACAAATCTTTACTTATCAAATTTAAGTAATCAAAAGATTGTTGACACATTACAACATATTGTGACAATGGCAAAGATTTCTTAGAAGAAATTTCAATGCACAAATACCACCGGTTAAAATGTTAGAGATGCTTATATGGTTGCATGTTTTTTTTTTTAAAGATCAATAATGCAATCTAAGTATCAATGCAACCTTGGAAATAGTTACCCACTCACTTAAACCATAATGACCTTAACCATTTTAATATCAGTATTATCTCAATAGTGGTGGCAGGCTGATAGGAAATTATGTGGCCTAAAGATTATCTGTACTTACAATGTGACATTAATTTCTGGAAAATGCACTAAAGTGTGGTAACTATTCAAGACAAACCTAGTAAAGTTGAAAAAAATTTTAAGTAACATTATAATACTTTGATCCATTACACTTTGACTCACCTAATTTACTTAGCTCTTAATTCACTATCCAATAAAAATTATATAAACTGACACAATTAAACGTATTCCTAAAAGGGTATGGGTCAATACTCACTAATCATAACTTCCTATCTAAGCCAGCTCTGCTAAGACCTGGGAAAAGACAATCAGTTCTCATTCACAAATAAGAATGCAAGTTGTCATTTAACAGAACTCTATATATTAATCCTGGTACCAATAGTCTCTCCAGTTAATTTCAGCATCAGAGATAATTTAGGACCATTCTAACAAAAGAAAGCCAAGATAGTGCCAACTCCTAAAACTCAAAACAGAAACTTGGAATAGGCTGCATTCATTTATTATATTCCCACTATATTTTAGAAAGTCTAGTATTACCACTGTATTTTAAAAAATTGAATTTCTTCCCACTATATTTTAGAAAGTCTAATTTCTTCTAAAGGCAAATTAAAATCCAACACATATTCTGTTCTCTATTTGATTCCATCAAGTATGTGCGAAATAACCAAAGGAAAAAAATTGTGAAAAAATAAAGCCTATGTAAAAACAATCCCAAATCACTTTGAGAAAAAAAGCCTAACTAGCAATTATAAATTAATAAAACTAATGAAAACAGGGAGTGAAAAAAAGAAATGACAAAACCAACCCCTCCTCGCTGACCATCTACATGTATGGAACGGATGTGATCTGCCAGATCTGGACTAGAGTTGAAGCAAGCCTGGCACTGGTCCCAACAACAATTATAGGCAATATTTTTGCTTGAAGAAGTAGTGCTTCCTTGTCCATTCATCATTGCTGGAGTTGAACGCCCACTGGAAATTGTGCTGTCTACATCCATTATAGTACTGCTTATGCTACAAAAGAAGAAAAAAGGCTGTGTTATTCCTAGAAATTCACTAACATGAATATGATCTTATAAATAATTAAGATTACTACTTGACATTCTGCTCCATACAAAGCATACTAACCATATTTTCTATTAGAAAACAACACTGCTTTGAAATTATTTAGTTGGCAATGAAGTGCAAATCAAGGCAAAAAACACTAGTACCTCAAAACCAGATATGGAATAATTTAAGCAACTTTTGGCAGACATGAACTCCCCAATACTAAAACCTACAGAAAACACACACACACACACGCATACACACACACACAGCTCAACACATTTCATCCCTTCCACAGTTCTAAGAAGCACAATAAAGTAACAGAGTAATAGCTACTCTAGCTATAAATACTTAAGAATCAAGAGTATCTTTACAGTTCTGCAAGTCACTTGTTAATCCAAAATCTTCTATTCACTAATCTGAGGACACAACTGCTTGTCATAGCCTACCTTTCTCCATCTCAAAGAAGTTTGGGAAATTGTGCTGTATTTTCCCTTCTAAATAAAAAAGCAGGGACACCTGGGTGGCTCAACTGGTTAACCATCTGCCTTTGGCTCAGGTCATGATCCCACGGTCCTGGGATCAAGTCCCACATTGGGCTCCTTGCTCAGCAGGGAGCCTGCTTCTCCTTCTACCTGCCGCTCCCCCTGCTTGTGCGCACTCTCTCTCTCTCTCTGTCAAATAAATAAAATCTTTTTTAAAAAATTAAATAAATAAGCAGAAGAGAGAAAACTGGGTACAATCAAAATTTCCCTGATTTTACTGAAGTCCAAATAAAATGTCTTTTCCTGGCCTTCAATTTTTTTTAAACTCATCTCAATCCACAAAAAAGGACTGAAAAGCCAATCAATCCTTTTTACTTTTTATTTACTAAACAAAGTATAACATATTAGTAACCCTTTTATTAAGAAAATCACATATTAGTAGAAATAAAAGTAATAGAATTCTGAATGCCCAAAATTTCATATCTTAATAAAATGAACACAGTTTTGCCTTCCTTTTAAAAGCAATCAATTTAGGGGAACCTGGTTGGCTCAGTCAAGAGAATATGTGACTCATCAAATAAATAAATAAAATCTTAAGAAAAAATCTTTAGAGGTGCATGGGTGGCTCAGTCAGTTAAGCAACCAACTTGGCTCAGGTCATGATCTCAGGGCTGTGAGATCAAGCCCCTCATCAGGCTCCACGCTAGGCAGAGTCTGCTTAAGGTTTTCTCCCTCTCCCTTTGCCCCTCCCCTCGTGCTCGCTCTTTCTCTCTCTCTAAAAAAAATAAATTTTTTTTTAAATTAAAAGCAATTCATTAAAAAAAATTTTTTAGTATCTTCCCAATACAGAAAGTACAGGGAAGTAGCTTCAACCACAGAGGGGTCAACAGTAACAATGTTTGCAGGCTAAAATCCATCAAAAGCTATGTATTTGCTTGCAATTTAACAAAAATTATGAAAGTTATATTAACTCTTAAGGGGTATGCTTCCCTACTCCCAAGTTTTTAATTACAGAAAATTTCAAAAACACAGAAAAGTGTATCTAAATCTTAACTTCACAATTTACATTTTGTCCTTTTTGCTGTAATTTTTTTTCTCAATCATCTGCAAGTTGCAAACATGATACTTCAACCACAATTATTTCAGAACACACCTTCTAAAAATAAGAACATTCACCTAAAACCACAACCTTATTTGCTTGTATGTAAAAGTCAAAATAAATTTTAACTTATTAAGTAAGCTTTCTGTTTTGTTTTTCCCTCCTCCCTTATTAAGTAAGCTTAATAATAATTTGTGTCTAACATCCTATGCACCCATTTAAAAAAACTAGCAAAAATGTTTTTGTAGGATGCTTCAGACATGAAAAATGTCTCAGATTTCCCTTTAAAGAATATTCACGTAAGTTCATCTGGCTATCTACCAGTCAATATATGTTCTAAATTTAAACTCTAAAACTTCATTCTAAAACTTTGTAATTGGCGGGCTCAATCAGTAGAGCATGTGACTCTTGATCTCGGGGTTGTAAGTTCCAGCCCTACACTGGGTGTGGAGATTCGGTTTTTTTCCATTGTAATCTCTATTCAACTCTCAAATGCAAATCAGCTCTTGAATACCTAAACATTTATTCATGTTTTTTTGTTTTTTGCAGGAATAAACTGTGAGTATGGCAGTTTTTCTATACTGAAATGTGTATTTTAATTTGAGCCTTAGAAATTTCAAGTTTCATGAGGCCCTTAACCACAAAATGGTTGGTTACCTATTTTCCTTATTGCTGTTTCATACATTTTGACTATAAAACTCATACTTTTGTAAACCATACTAATTAACTCCAAAGGCAAATAAAATACTAATAGTTTTAAGTGAACAACCAACCACACTCAAATTATAAACAATCTTAGGGAATGAGATAAATTTCAATGACCTACTATGATACAATCTCTAAGGTATAGCAAAGCGTAAACACACACACATGCACAAACGCACGCACGCACACACGGTAGTAATGCTCTAATTTCCATACCTAGGTTGGAAAGGGAGATATAGACACAGCTATCCTCTAAAGGCAAACCTTGTTTTGAAGGATACACAAAACACTGTCCATGTTTTTTTGGAGGGGGGGAAGGGAGGGTCAGTAGGAGAGAAACTTTGACTATATATACCTTTTGTATAATTTTAAATCTCATACATGTACTACTTTCATGTCAAAGTCCAAAATTAGTTGAAAATGAAACCAATTTTCTCCTTAAATTGGACAGAGTAAAGGTCAAGAGACTCCTACTTGTAACATATCCAACTAGCAATATAAAGACTATCTACACAGTGCTTAATGTACTTTTGCTTATTAATTTTACCATAGAAGGGGAACCTTGTAAGTCCAAATATCCATAAACACTAAGCACTGGGTAATCAGTCTATGTGCAGTATCTTTCACTTGAAACACAGTACTTCATGTGGATACAGATCCTCATAAAAAGATGGCGTAATGCTGATGTTAAGAGCATGAATTCTATCAATGGCAACTAAGCTGCAAATGCAGTGGCAGAGGAGGTAAGGGACAGGTCCCATGCCCTAGAAGACTCAAGAGACCTTCACACACGTGCAGCATACCCAGAGAGTCTCCCATTCCCTAGCAGGGCCAACTGGAGTCCTGCCATATAGCCCTTTTAGGTTCCTCCAATTTCTAGGAAGTGCCCAAATCCTAAGCCTCCAGGCTCCCTTTTGGCCCCAGACCCATGCTGAAATCAGTGGTTCTCCCCATTCCTAAGACTGATAAAGGGCAAAAGTCCTGATGCAGGAGAGCACAGGAGACAAGCTGTAGTTAATTTCAATTTTGACAGGACACTGAGCAAGATGTAGATCTCATAGAAAACACTGTCCTCCTCCTTCCTGTAACAATAAGATATCAAGATGATCTGAACTAGATGAGGACATTCCTTTCACTTGATCCTGTAATATTCCTAGGATAGTAAATACATTAAAAGTTTTCACTCAGTTCTCCTTCCCAATGAACACCTATTGATTCTGTAAAATGTGAACAAAAGCAGCCTAGTATTTGGACAAAAACCGAAGCCAGAAAAAGCACTCTTACTATTCAGATAATTATAATAATCTAAAGCAGTGCTTCTCAATATTATATGAATTACCTGGAATCTTATTAAATAGATACTGATTTGGTAGATTTTGGGGTAGAACCTAAGATATTGTATTTTTAACAAGCACCTACTTGTTGAGACTACTGCTACAACAGTGTAAGTAGCAAGACTCTAAAAGATCTTTTACCATTATTACCCAAGTTAGACTGATCTGACTATGTAAGGAAGTATCTCCCATTGCAAAATGATAAACTAAAGCATACACAAAAACACACAGACACACACGCACACCCTGTGACAACAGATAATCCCTAAGTTTCGGAAAAAACACATGTTGGAAATTCAAATGCAATATTTAGAGAAGGACATGAGACATTTTCAACATAACAACATTCCCTTTACCCTCTTTTCCATGGGCCCTTTTCCTCTTAAGAAACACCCAGCACACCAGACTTTTTTACCCTAACATCTAAAGTACACAGATTTTATGAAAATGATTTCCTCTGAATATTCAAAGGCCAACTCACTATAAGAACAGACTCTTCTTTGAGAACTCAAATACTATCAAGCAAAACATCTGTGTGGTGGATATGACCACAGCTGACAGGGTTGCCAACACTGAAAAGTAAAGAGCAGCTTGCTAAATGACAAGATACAGGAAAAGAGGAAGCAATACATGGATGCTATATTATCATGATGGAGGACAAGACCATGGTCTTCATGTAACAGAGTAAGTTCACTGATACGGTTTCAGATTCTACACTGCAAACACTATAAAACAAAACAAAACAAAAAACTATGCCTTGTATGAAATAGCCATACAATTAACCTAAAAAGGCTATTAAAATATCCTTCCTTTTCCAACTAAGTATCTGTATGAGGCCAAGTAGTCTTCGTATAGTTCAACCAAACAATTCATTGCAACAGACTGAATGCAAAAGTAGATATGAAAAACTAGCTGTTAAGCCAGATATTAAAGACATTAAATATAAAACATCCCTCTTCAATTTTAACTGGAAAAGTTATTCTACACTAAGAAAATACTGTTTAGGGGTGCCTGGCTGGCTCAGGCAGTAGAGCATGCGACTCCTGATCTCAGGGTCGTGAGTTCAAGCCGCACATTGGGCAGGGAGCCTCCTTAAAAAAAAGATAGAAAATACATATACATATTGGTTTATTTTTTTTTTAAGATTTTTATTTATTTGACAGAGAGAAACACAGTGAGAGAGGGAACACAAGCAGAGGGAGTGGAAGAGGGAGAAGCAGGCTTCCCGCCGAGCAAGGAGCCCTATGTGGGGCTCGATCCCAGGACCCTGGGATCATGACCTGAGCTGAAGGCAGACGCTTAACGACTGAGCAACCCAGGCGCCCCCATATTGGTTTATTCTTA